TTTTCTATTTAAAATTTTGTTACCTGCATCTGATAAAAGAAAAGACTTAATAACAGTTAGGTCTGAGGTCAAGGTTCAATCTGAGCTGGAAATGCTGAACTCTAACCTCTCTCTTTTATGCTTGAACTGATATACCAATCTTCTAATACTTCTCATAGTTGCTGGTTATATGAAATGTATATTTATACACCATCTCTCCATACCTCGCCTCCTACTTCTTTCTTTCCCTTTCCCTTTCTGTTCTATAAATTTTGTTATCTGCATCTAGTGAAGGGCTAAGTTTCCAAGTTTTTTATTCAAGCTTTTCTTTTACAGGAAACAGTTTCAAGAATAAAAAATGTTTTTCATTTCCATATTCTTTTACATTTTTCTTTCTGAGAAACAATTTACTAGGAAACTTTTACAACAATGAAAAAGCCTTTATGACTTCTGTAACTTGCCACCCACGGGCTTTAATTACCGACTACAAACAATGTTTGCTTTTGGATTTTGATAAGCAAAACTTTTGAATTGAATTTATTTCTGCTCTTCTATTCACATATTTGAACTTTGTGCATTTCAGGGTGAAGTAAATTGTGTCAAATGGGATCATACATGTTCACTGTTGGCCTCTTGCTCTGATGATATTACTGCAAAAGTTGTATACACTATCTTTTTATCATTACTTAACAGACATCCTTTATTGCATGAATTATACATTTTTATTGGATTGCATTTTGTCTGATTTTTTTCTTTTTGAAAAAAATAATTTTGAAACAATATGCCAGCTTTCTGGATTATTATAGCTTTGTTTCTGTTGGTTTTTAGTCCCTATTTTTTGTTGCTGTGTCTTTATGTATTAGTATTCATTCTTTTCTTCTTTTATGCTTCAACTAATGGAAAGTCTCGCTGCAGATATGGTGTATGAAGTAGGACAAGTATGTCCATGATCTAAGGGAGAGTTACTTTTGAGCTTTCAATTTTTTCAATATAATCCATTTGTGAACATGCCTGGGTGCATTCATTTGTAAATTAAGGAGAAAATTTGAGCAATTGTTCTGCAGGAGATATATGCCATCAGGTGTAGTAGAAATTGTTTTAATTTCTGTTTGCTGGATCACGATTTGTGCATACATATCATTCTTATGTTTATTATTAGGTCTGATATTTGAAGCCAGTTGATAGACCAACCTGACTCAGTAGTCTCAAAAAGCAAAACACCTATCTTACATATAATTTTTTCAAGCTTGAACTTGATTTAGGCTATAGATTAAGATGTAATTGCCCATTTGTATCCTTTATATTTCTGTAGTCTCTCTCTGTCTCTCTTCAGTACATATTTGTGGATGATAATTTTCAAAATTTTAATTTATATTTCACAGTGTGCCATAAAGGCTTTGTTTCTACAAACTGTACTGGCTGTTGATTGAGGATGCAACTGCTTGATTGATCACAATTTAAGATGCAATGGTTTGAGGATTAAACAAAGTTAAAGAAGTCTAAATAGCTATTTATCAGGGATGCAACAATATTGCAGTATTACCTAACTTAACCAGAAGAGGAAAAGGGGAAGTAAAAGAGAAGGATAACATGCGTCTAATACATTCTATGTTCCAAGGCTTCCCCTTTTTAGTTCCAAGGGACTCCTCTCTAATTCAATGAAATTCATGTAGAGTGTAGACTGCAAAACAAGAGCTGCTGTGAATCTTCATTTAAGTTTTCCTTAACATTTTGTTCATTTCTTTTCCATGTAGTGCATCATTTGACTCTACGGTGAAGCTGTGGGATGTGGAACTAGGGAAACTTCTCTACTGCTTGAATGGACACAGGTACCATCCATCGAATCTATTCTTCTCTACTTGCTTCTTCCATTTAAATGATGGCAGCATAGAATACCTTTTTAATTATATAAGGTCACTTAAAGCCTTGTTGATGGTGAAATGAGCAATTAGCATGATTTAGGCAGTTTGGTTTTTCTCACAAGTTTCTTTTGATTAAACTGCCAGGGACCCTGTATACGCTGTTGCATTTTGCCCAAACGGGGAGTATCTGGCCAGTGGATCTCTTGATAAATCGATGCATATCTGGTCCTTGAAGGAAGGGAAGATTGTAAAGACATATACTGGCAAAGGGGGTATATTTGAAGTATGTTGGAACAGGGAAGGTGACAAGATTGCTGCTTGTTTCGCAAACAATACGTTATGCGTCTTAGACTTTAGAATGTAACAACATGGAAAGCTTCTCTCTGTGGGGAAGATGCCACGTTTCCTGCTCTTAGATTAGATAATCAGTTATAGTTAGGTATTTTCTTTTGAATGAAAAGGGAAATTTGTTATTATTTTGTGGATTAGGCATTAGTTGTGAACTAGTAGCCTGCTTTGTACAGCATTGTTTAGCTCTGAATTATCCATCCGTAATCAGAAAGAATCCTTAAGTCTCTGGTTAGTTGGATTATAATCTCATTCCGGGAACCAGATCCTTCCGCCCACTGGCAGCAAAGAATGATTTTTTTGGTTCATTTTCCTGAACTACCATGTATGAAAAGAGTAGCATTTACTCTTCATATTCGCCACGCCATGTTTGCCAAAAATAAGCTTCCCCAGCCTTCAAGTTCTTAGAAATCTGTTGGGCCGGTCTCACATATCTTAGACAACTGTGAATTCCTTTCCCATTTGAAGGGTAGTTATCCAAAACTTTTCCCACTCAGTCAAAAATGAAAACGAAACTCGTGCAAACATATCATTAACAATGTGGTTTCTAATGGTTTGTCTTCAGATTTTCAAAACCAAAATGCACATTTAATCACTTTTATTATTTATTCGATATCTCTTCATCACCAATCTATCATTTTAAATGCCAAATTGAGTGGCATTCACTATGTTGCCAGAGTCAATGTGCGCAGCCAGTTGGGAGGCATTGGCCTCCTATTATCTGTTGGCCTTTTTATCTTTCTTTACTTATTTCTTTGATGTGTGGAAGCATATATTTCTTCCACAATTCCCTTTCGAACCAGCATTTCTATGGCATCCTTAATTATTGCTCTGTTTCTATCCTTGTAATCAAATGCTTTAAAACTTGATACCAAGACAACACAGAGACTTGATATATCTACATTCATGTGCCAGTCCTGATTCATATCATATATGCTTCCTTTGTTCCATAGTTAGGGAACTACTTCTGATTATATATCAGTCCCAGTAAATTTCAACCTTCATCAGTTTCCACACCAACAGAATCTCCACCTCTCTAATTCCATTCCCACCCAAAAATGCCCTTAAGTACAATATGATAATTTGATAACCATTCAGAGACTCATGAATTTGGTTCTTAAAAGTGTTTTACCATGAATACAACATTCCTTGGTTTTCATTTTTAGTGCAAAATGAAAGTTCATGCTCAAGTTTGTGGGGTTTCAATAATTTTCTTTATGACTATGTTTAGCAGATGGAAAACTACGAAAAGTTTATTTTTTTTAGAGTTGGTCAGATATGAGATAAGACTCTTGAAGCTGGGGTATTAGTGATTTTATTAGTATCTCTGTTTGAAAAAATGACTTACCTGCTTAGCATATCTGAAGTAGAGAGAATTGCTACTATTTTATGGGAATTATTTGTTGTTTATTTCTTATTAGAACAGTATATATGCAAACTAACTGATAGACAAGTCTAATGCTCAAAATTCTGACTCAGCATTCCAACACCACAATTTTTTGATCTCCTGAAGCTTCAGCATCATAGCTGCTTTCATTACACCCCAATGTGGGGAAGCTGAGATTTTAAAATTTGATATTTCTTTGGAACAGAATGATTCTGAGAATACGCACAAGTGGTTCCCAACGCACTTCTACTGAACATACACACTGCCCACTGCATCACGACACACACATTTGATCCTCGTTTATAGAAAGAAACCAATTGAAAATCCCCTGCCCTGCTTTTTTATCGCCATTATTGTCAGTTCTCTTGGGCAGTTGGGCCCCCTAAACCCCCTTAATAATTCTAATGTTATTATATTTATCATGAACTAAAGGATTACCTAATGCACCTTTGCTTCTACATGTTTTAGCAAACTTGACATCACTAGACTGATTTAGCATCAGATCATTTATTTTTATATGAAATTGATGACAATTGATCCTGAAAGGGTTACTTCAGTTTGTAAGAAGAATTCTTTTTTATCAATTTGGTTCCATTTTCGTTGAAAGCATTTCAAAAATAAAATTTTGAATGTATTAAAATGAAAAAAATGTATTTTTAATTTTGTCTAAGATGAGATTAGATTCAAATAAAAACTGATGATACCTCGGACCGTATTTGAAAAAATTGAAAATTCTGATTCATGAAACATATTTTATATTTGAAAAGACAACTTTGAATCTACATGTCTAGATCTAGCTATTTTTAAATTCAAGTACAGAGGATGGTAAGTACAGGATATCATAAGAGTCACGGTGCGGATACGAATCATTGAATGTCATTGCCTACCAGCCACCACCCCTGCCAAAATGGTCAGTTCTCTGATTCAATAAACACCCAAAAAAGGGTGTTGTTTTTTTGAACGTTGGTGAAAAACAGGATTCCTTCTAATGTCTGCAACCATCTTAACAAAAATTCTACCAGATATAAGTAAGCAGACCTACCCTTTGCAAGGAGTGGCCCACAATTGGCCAAGTCCCGCAAAAGAGATTGAAAATTATGGTGTGGGGTGAATAGGATATAGAGCACATGATGCTTGGGGCCATCTCAGTTAGATGAAAGTAATTTACTTGGGTACTTTGAATTGAAGTAATTGGACAAGCTACTTTTACCAATTGGTAGGAAGTTTGATACATATTTTATGAACATGGTAAAGGAGCTATAACTTTTTACCCTGATTTTCTGTTGTACTTATTCAATCTTTGGATAACATAAAGCCTGTCCATCCGTAGTGTTCGAGACAGGATCCGAAGTTTGACATGGCCAACATTAATAGTTGTGAAATGTTCAAGCATCATCAGATGGGAAACCACAGCTGATCTACAATTTCCTGAAGCCCTTTTATGTCCAAAACTTCCTATATACAAACCTGTCTGAGTCGAGACTCTTTGTGCGATATATGGCTTTCCTGAGGGATAATGAAGAAATAAATGAGACATCAGTCAACAATCAAGATGCTAAATCAGTCAATGAAAAAGGAGTTGGAGATAACTTCGGGGAAGTTTTGAGTTTAGGGCTCAACAGAAGTGAGCCCGCAACAGCTGCAGAGTGTGACAATCAATCAAAGCCTGCCAGCAACAAAGTTTTCTCATGCAACTTTTGCATGAGAAAGTTTTATAGTTCTCAGGCCTTGGGTGGCCACCAGAATGCACACAAGAGGGAAAGGGGAGCTGCTAAAAGGTTCCAGTCTCACAAAATGATGATGATGACAGTAGTGGGATTTCCTTTCAATTCTATTGCGGTTCGATCACTAGGGGTCCAGCCTCATTCTCTTGTTCACAAGCCTATCAGAGAAGGGTCTGCAATGGTAGCAAGATTTGGTGATTCCAGTCCGCGGTTTGGGATGGCATGGATACCCTTTATGTTCGAGGAATCTATGGATTCAATCTCGCCAGGAAGCTTGCTCCTTGATAAATTGCCAACGCAAAAACCTGATTTGCAAAAGCTAGACTTAAATCTTCGGTTGTAGAAGTGTTATCTAACTGTTCTATCTCACTTTGGGAAATTTTCTCTTTTTTTTTTTTCCTTAAAATTTATAGGCTTTGCTATCCAATCTTGCTGTTACTTGCCGGCTCTGCATGAGAATAGTTTTCCTTTCTGTCTGGGCTATGACCAACTCGTGAAGTAGTTCAAGTATGGATTCCAACATTGTGCTTGACGATGATTTTGGGCTTTGCTCCAAATCCAAAGTCCATCATGAATGATTAACGTCAATCAATAGCATGGCAGGGTCATAACTTGGGCACTTCGAAGTAGTTAAATCAATCCGTCCAATAAAGCAAAATTTTACTAAAATATCTCAGACTGGATAAATGGAATTCGATTACAATTGTACTTGACTAAAATTTCTTTGTCCCATCAAGCTGACTTTCTTTTCCTTGTTTCCATTATTATCATGAAACTTACTTGTTTAGGAGAAGGAAAAAAAAAAGCTTCACAACTAATGATAGCAATGCATGCTTATTAGTTGCACCAAAAAAAAAGCATGCTCAATAGTTTTCAAATTTAAGGCTTAAATCCTTTCGAATCTGTTGGTAAATACAATTTTTTGATATTTGAGATTATTATATTATTTTGAATTTTTATTATTAAAATTAAGAATAAAATATTTTATTAATATCTACTGTTGAAAATACAATTTGATAGATGGTTGAGACAATAATTGAATTGTAATGATCACATATATTTCCCCCAAATGTCATTAGTTTTGATTTTCAATCTTCAATAATCTCCCAACTTAATTATCTAGTAAAAAATTGAAGGCAGCAGGCTGAATTACTCTATGCAGACTAGCCAAAATATGAAAATAGGTTGCAGATTGACCAAAGAAAACCAATTAATCAGCCTAGAAGCATCTTTCATGTGATGATAGAGAGCAATTGACTATAAGCCTAGACCCAAAATAAAAATAAAAAAAATATTGAGATGGCTTAGAAATGAGAATAATAACAAACCTATAATTATCTCCATGACATGAGCCATGTGAATTTTGCAGCATGGGTTTAGATATCCTTGACCTGGAACTAACCTCCTTTCTTCTTTTATTAGCCTATAAACCTAAGCCGACAAGCTTCTTTCATAGTCATGGCCACAACTGTTGAAAGTTTGTGGGTTGACACTGACCGACCAAGAAAAAAACTTACATTAGATAAGGTCGAAGGTTTGAAAATTAACCAGTAAGTGATCATCATTGAAAACAAACTATAGTGAAATGGAAGAGATCATTATTTCAACATCAGAAGAGTTAATTGTTGATGATAATGCCCAAGACCTTATTGATTCAAGGATCACGTATCCCAGTCTTCTCGATTCATCTCGATCATGGAAAAAACAAAGATTTCAACTCATAACTTCATCAAAAAATGCAGTACTCATGAAACAAAATTCTTAACCATAACTACCTAATTATGGGGGAGTAAATAATTTTACCAGTAAACCATACTTTTTCATGGCATAGACTGGAACAAAGAAGCTAAAAGAAGGGGGAGAAAGAAGGAAAAAAGGTATCAATGTGTAATTGGCTGACAGTAGCTGTTAGAGATATCAGGCCCGAGGACCAAAATTGCAAGCCGGTCAAGACAATCTTTTTCTTGTTACAGTCTATACTCTATACAAGACAGAAAAACTTCAGTCCTTAGGTTAAAATTAATATAGATTTTTTTTTTTTAAATTTGGATTGTGTGGGAGTACTATGACATGGTTCTGGACTTCTGGATCCATGTTGCTCACTTCTGGACATGTATATAATCTAGCATAAATGAACCCTAAGGACCTAAAAGTGATATATTTAGTTAGATCCTACTCATTATATGCAATAGAATTAAGAGCCTTCTTGTAACTATAACAATTTAATATATTTATGCTATGAATCTATTAAAATTATAACCTCATTCTTCTCTTATCATTATTGGTACCAAACATTTTACTTGCTACAAAAATATAAGATTATGGTGCTTGTAGTCATATTCAGATAATGTATTTTAATTCATTAATTTTAAGACTTGATATTATATTAAGCGTTAAGTCAAGTTTTCATCATGAGTAATTTTATATTATAGGCTTGAATCTCATCCCTAAATTTTTAATATAGTTATGTTAATTTTTCATACCATACGGTGAAACTTTTATATTAATATGTATATTGAAGATTTATACGGTCAAGACCTCCATCATGTATGTATATCTATTCTTTTAAGGAATGCTCTTTCTACAGTAATTCAATTATTATAGATTTTTTTTTCTTTTGAAAAATGAGATTTTATTAAGACAAAGAGGGGTACAAAATTACAACCATGCAATCAAGTCAGTGGATCTATCCACTCTCGACTTGGCTAGATATTCCGCTAAGTGATCAGCTTCTCTAGATACATGAACAAACGAAATATTTTTTATGACAGCTTGTAAATGACTGAGGCGGTTGATAACATTACTGAACTTCCATGGGTTTTCGCTAATGTGATTCACCCATGAGATAACAACTTTGGAGTCACTTTCAATAAGGAGGTCTGGCAAAAGATTGACATTTGCTTCCACCACAATCGTCAGTGGCTCTCCCACAGCCATTATAGATATTCTTTTTATTCTTATCATTATAGATATTCTTTGTACAATTATCATAAATTCTTTTAGTTCATAGTGATCGCTTTATTTTTATTCTTATCATGATAGTTTCACATTTGTTCATTTTATATATTTCTTAGGTCATTGCCGCCAAATTATGAATCATACATCATATTGTCTTTTTCATCAAGTAAATTATTACAAAGAGACCTCAAATCCTTTAGTGTAACGAGACAATCTTTTGTCATTTTCCATTGCTATTAATCATAGGCAATACAAGACTTAAAACTTGTTGTGTACGTCACTCAAATGATGACTTTTTTTAATCAACAAGTTACATATATAGACAAGGGTATTTTATATATCTCTTTAAAATGTAGTCATATTAGAGGGCCATCGATGGACCTACCAAGTGACTATCAAAATATCATACATGTACACATCTTTTGTCATGGACATTTTTAATCATTTTTATAGTCTTAATCAAAACTATATCTATCACCCAAATGGGTCATAATAATATTTTGTATTTATAAATTTAAACTTTATTTATAAGACTAATATGCCTTTGTGCAATTAGACATAATAAAAGGTATGCAAAACATACCTTGTGAATTTTGAAATCACACAATCCCGGATTTAACTTTTGTAATCCAAAAATGAATGTCTTTGTCTAACCTTGTCACCTTTCATCAAAATTTCTCATGAAATTGCAATTAAAGTTTATTAATATTTATCTCTAATTTCAAATGCCTTCACAAATATTTTGTGATTATTATATTTATATCCAAATCATAATGACAATAAAAGTCATGAAATATGATTCTAAAGAATCATATTACATATAATAATAGCATCATTTGGTCTAAACCTATGACCACTACAAAACACATTTTAAAAGAAAATTTTATTTTCATGTCAGAATAGTGTACTTAAATATAAGGGCCTATGCTTTCTTGTTCCCATTATTCTGCCCTTGTGTAAAAAAATACAAATAATATATGATTTAAATTCATTTCTAATCAAAATCACGTAATTGATTTTAAAAATTGTAGAATAGTCCAATCATATGTTTCGGCCAACATGAATTCACATTGCTTCCTTGACCAAATTGTGCAATGTAAAATATTTACACCATTGATACTCGCAATGTGTTCTTAAAACTGAAACGATAATATATGTTTATATGCGCTGTAAGACATTTAGGTCGCATTTCTATGTGTAGTGAATGGCAACAAAGAATCAACAAGATTCCAAGAACATGGCACTTGATCCTGCAAAGGATACACAATAGCATATTTTATTAATCTTCCATCACGAAGAACTGTCTAAAATTTTTCATTATGAAAAACCAGGAGAAACATTTTGCACAAAAGCACAAAATATTATAACAATAATGACCACAACAGCCTCAAAAAAGGGACAAAAAGAAATGTTAACGTTCATCGAGACATGCATAGGCAAAGCCAAGAAGAATTCCTACATGCATCCCACTTCCATTTACTTTTATTGTTAACGAGCCAATCCATGGGTTCCACTATTATTAGTCCATTTTCTTTTCAATTATCCCATTAAACATTGAATAGATTCAACCAATTTAAATTCATCATTCGGTGGTAATAGCCATATACAATTCAACATGAGTCTAAGAATTCTAATTTTGGCTCCCAAATGTTTAAGAGATTATTTTACCATCGGTGCATGTGGCATTTTCCATTGAACAAAAATTAATATAATTAAAAAAAAATTTAGTTATGCAAAACATATCTTGTGAATTCATGTGAATTTTTATATCACATAATTCCGGAATTAACTTTTGTAATCTAAAAATGAATGTTTTTGTCTAACTTTGTTGTCTTTCATCAAAATTTCTCATGAAATTGCAAAAATAAACATCTCTTGGCGACTGACATGATCATCCAAATAGATGTTTATTTATATAGATATAATAGTTCAAATATAAGTCTATTTAGATATACACAATTTTTCAATATAATTCTTAATAAATAATCACATAACTTTTATCATCACATATATTTTATATGATATATTATTATTGAAAATGTTCCAACATAAACTGGACAATGAAGCTAAACGAAGGGGGAGAAAGAAGGAAAAAAAAGTTATTAATGTGTATATTGGATTATTGGCTGAGAGTAGCTGTTATAGGTATCAGGCCCGAGGACCAAAATTGCAAGCTGGTCAAGCCAACCTTTTTCTTATTACAGTTTATACTCTATACAAAACAGAAAAACTTCAGCCCTTAGGTTAATATATATATATATATTATAATTTGGATTGTATGGGAGTATTGTGAAATGGTTCTGGTTCCATGTTGCTCACTTCAGGACATACATATATAATCTAAGCATAAATGAATATCCCTGCGGACCTGAAAGTGAAATATTAAGCTAGACCCTATTCATTATATCTGAACAGAATCAAGGAATAGGTTTAAATCCTTAATTTAGTTCAGTAAAATCAACCCAAGATCTTGGGTACCATTTGGTCTTCACTACTCTCCAATAAAATCTGAAAACGTTGACAAAAATGTCGATGTCTGATGTTGTTTACTGGTCATTGCTGCAATTAATGGGTTGACTGACTTTCTTAAATGCCTTAAATGCCCCCATGCATAGCACGATTTAATTAATCGGTGCTATTGCTTAAAGAAACTATGAGCCGGCCTTTTTACTACCGAGCAATAATTAAG